GACTTACTCATTCCCATCTGCTACAGCGGAACAATGAGAGGCTATTTGTGAGGTCAAGTTCTTTCACCTCGCTAGAGGAGGTGCTGGGGGGGAGCACCAGGTTGCTCCAGCTTCAGGATTTGTCCCAAAGGAGGGAGAAGGTGAGTCCTTGCAGTTCAGGAGAGCAACAGGAAGTATTCCTTTTAACAGAGGACACACCTGTCTATATTCAAGACGCCATGTTAAGAAGCAAAGGTTATTCTTCAAAATTATTTATTTTATAGAAAGACAAATAAAACAACATCAGTACTATAAGCTGTGTGCAACTCGTGCTTAGGGAAGATGTTCACCACCCTTCTTGTGTAAACTCCTGCTATTCAGCAACTTTATCCAACTTTTTTCCTTCTACAATAAAGTCTTAATGTGCTTCAAGTCTTTAAACAGGGATCATTGAGTGTTATCTAAGCACTTCTTCACAGAAGAAAACTGAAAACTTGACCAGACAAATGGTAAAAACCCTTATTCCCTGGAGCTACCCAGTGAAATCCAAAATGGAACATTAACTGAACAGTACAACCCTTTTTCCCCGTGCTAGGCAGTGAAGTCCAGACGGAGGTCGGGATCGTGGGAAGTCATGTGCAGGTAGATGCGCCGGGACAGTTCGGGCCCGATGCGGCGGGCGGTGGCCGTGACGCCCTCGCCGCGGTGCACGGGGATGTTGGCCAGCATGTTCTCCCGCTCCTGCTCCGAGGAGCACCGCTCATAGGCCTGGGAGCAACACAAGGCAACAGTGGCATCACTCACTTGCATCCATTGCTCAAAAAACCAATCAAAGCTATGCACCTGTACCTGCTCTGCCCTTCCACAATGTCCACTCATTTTTCACTTGGTCTCTGCCCAAGTCCCATCTGTGAGCTTGGAGAGTGAAGCCAGTGCTGCTCCCTCAGTGGGAAGCCAGACCAGTGGATGCCAAGGAACCGGTTCCTTCACTAACTTACTGAACCGCTCATGCACAATCACTGTGTCTAATTTAATACTGATTAAATTATTTCTTCCACTCCCTGGCTGCCTGCACACAGTGCTGGCTATCCCTGAGGCATCCTCACCTGGATCAGAAGCTGAGGAGAAGGGTAGGCAGACACGATAGCCTCAGCCATCTCAGAGCTGACACGGTTAAATTGCTGTATCTGCCTCTTCCAAACTTTCAAGAGACCCTTTCCAGAAGGATCCACCTTCACCCCTCTGCAAGAGTCCTTCTCCAAGTAGAAAGAGAACCCTGTGTTCTCTCGCTCTCGCCTAGGGAGAACAAGGAATGAGGAAGCAAATGAGACAATGAGGCTGTGAGGAAAATCCTGTCCCTGCCATCTGTTGTCACAGAGCCAGAGCGCCGTCCCTCACTTGAGCTGTCAGAGACACAACGGGCATCAAAGGAAACGTGAATAATTTGACCCTGTTTTCTTTACATGCATTAACAATTTCTTTAAGACCCAGATTGCTCCTGAAATATAAACAATCCCATACTCAGCAGCAATCCTGACACAAGCCAACTTGCAGACAAAGTGGTAAACAAGAATTCACCTTCTGGCTGTCAACCATAACAAAGCACTTTTAGATGTCATTTTTAATGACAGCTCATCTCTTGTCATGGCTGACATGAAAATCCAGCAGCTGCTGTGACAGGAATGCCAGGATTGCGTGAGACTGTGCAAGATGGCTTCCTTAGCTATCACTGTGCAACAAGCTGCTGTCCTCCCTCATCAATGGAAAGAATCAAATGGTTCATTCTCAGGCATGTCTCCTGATTACACACTGAAGAAGAAAAGCTGGCACTCTAAGAGCCAACCCTACTCACATTCCCTTCCCACTCCAAAAATCTGACTCAGAACAAGAGCTCTACTTGATGTCAAGGCTCCAGTGTGAGAGCTGAAGGTAGTGAGGCACCAGAGTAAATTGCCCAAAGAAGCTGCAGATACCCCATTCCTGGAAGCATTCAATGTCAGGTCAGATGGAGCACTAAGCAACCCAGTGGAATGGAAGATGTCCCTGCCCATGGCAGGGGTTGGGTTAGATGATCTTTAAGGTCCCTTCCAACCCAAACCAGCCTGTGACTATGAAACCAGGCTTTGTCCTGACCCCTCTGTGGGCAGGACATCAATTTCAAGAACAAGTCCTTTGTTGAAGGAGCTGCAAGAGCAGATGCTGTGTCACCTGCACCTTTAGGAGCCATTGTACCCTGTGGTGTACCTGCTATTCCTTCCCAGTAGCTCAAAGTGCAGCCTCTCCAAAGGCAGGACCAAATCTCCAAAGCTTACTCACTTGTATGGTGCTTCAGCCACAGCTTTGGTGAACATAGTGGCATATTCCCCAAGCTCCTCACTGCTCTCAAAAATGCTGATTTGGACTTGTGTGCTCAGCTGCAGATCCACCAGGGCCTGTATCACCAATGGGAACAACAAATGGCACAATCAGTCTTGCTGCATCAAATTCTATATTTGTCTGAAGCAGAAAAGGGTCACAAACATCCTGCTGTAGGACAAGAACCTTCACCCTCCATTTTGGGAACAGTTAGGACACTGAAATATTTAGAGGCAGTCTGTCTCCTGACAGTTAATATCACCTCAGCGTCCTCTAAGCTGCCTCAGCTCCCCTGTGGCTCTTGTTATGAACAAGCCACCACCAGTGGCATTTGCCAATGGGCCCTGAAGGGCAAGAGGTGCTGGGACTGCCATCAGTGTCCAGGAGAATGAGACACATCAGTCTCTGTGGGAGCGGGTACATGACTGAGCAGTGGGGAGCTGAACCCAGAGAGCTCTGTCCATAGACTGATGGACAAATGAATAAGGAAAGCCACGTACTCCCATGTACAAAATTGTGTGACTGGGTCAAATGTTCAAATACTGGGAGACAGCAGATGATGGCTGCATGTGTTTTAAAAGCACTCACTTCTTTCACATCCATTCTGGATAAATCCAAGCTAGAATCCTTAGCTTCCTTTTTTCTCCTTTCTCCCCGTTTCTCTTGATTCCCACTTGCTGCTGTCTGTCGCAGCCTTTGTTTGGGCTGAACTTGGAGAGACCTAAAAAGAGTCAAGTAAGACTGGGATGACAGTCTGGATGGACCTCTGCTTCTGTTTCTGTACAAAAAGTGGTGGAGCAGTTCTGGGAATACCTCTTGCACTCCAGTCTTTGCTAGAAAGAATTAACATAAACACCTATGGCATTTTTCAAGGCCAGAGAAAACACAGAAACATTTGGAGGGAAGAAGTCTGACCTGAAATAATTTTCTACTCCAACTACTGCCAGAGCCAGAATTCTCCCAGGCATTTTCTCCATCATATGAGCCACACAGCTCTGCAGGGTCTCCTTCTGCCTCTCTGCACAGCCATCAGCATTCTACAAAGATGAATGGGAAACATAAGGAGTTAAACAATGTTGAGGTATACAGAGAAGCACAGCAAATTTTTGCTCTGGTTGTAGGGCTGCAGAAAGAAGGAAAAAAAAATAAACTCACTTGATGTACCAATGTAACTCTTCAGAGGAATGTGTGAAAAATTTTAACTAGTGAAGAAAGCTTGTCAGAACTTTGCATTATTCAGCCCATTAATGGCTTCTACACCCAGATTTCTGTTTCAGTGAAACCCTGCATTCCACCCACACCAAAACCTTCCTGCCACTAAGAGGGATGGCAAAACACTGGTTTTACATCAAGGCATGTTCAGGAACACAAAAGTCATAAGCATTCTCACTTGCTTGTAGTTGTGAGCCATGGACAAAAACTCCTCCAAGCCAAGCAGAACCAGAACATTTGGTTCTTCTGTCCATTCATCTCCTCCTCCCATCTGTTCAGATATGAAAACAAACAGGCCACAGTCTGTTTAGAATTCACTCAGACTCCCACTCAGATCTCTGAGCAGGGAGATTAGAGGGTGTTCACTTGGGTTGCTAAATACAATTACTAGTGACCACAAACAACACATGAGGAAAAGGACGAGATTATAAAAATTTTGCTCACATACCTGTGATGTCACTATCTTTCTCCTCCAGGTGATGCTGCAGGGAACAGCGTGGTTCTCAAACACACAGGAATAATTGGCAGCCTGCAAAGCACTAAGGATCTGCTCGCCACCTTCTACCTGTAAGATGACTGAAATCGATTCATGGGTCAGGCCTCCAGAGAGAGGAGACAACAGTCAGTACAAGGCAGCAGCAGGCTGTGAGGACAACTACCTGGATCCAGCACCACTGTTATGTATTTCTGGCACTCTCCTGGCCGCTGAGCTTTCAGCATCTTGGCAACGGCTCGCTTCCTCTTTTTCTCCTCCTCCTGCTTCCTCCTCTTTGCTTCTTGCTCTTTCCTTCTCTGCCATACATTCTGGCAGATTGCCTCCCGTTCCTTCTGACTATATTGTCGCTTCTTGAGAGGGAGCGATGTTTCTGGCCTTTCTCTGCTTACCGGAGGGCTGCCAGGCCTGTCAGAGTCGACTGGCAAGGAGCACAAGGGGGATCTCTCAACACTGCGTGTACCAGTCTCACTACCACAAGTTACTTCTCCAGACGGCGTCAGGTCTTGCCGAAGCCCTTCGCTCCCAGGAGCCATCAGGTCACCACTAGCACAAATTCCAGATGCCTCTCCATCATCAGCGCCCAGGCTGAAGGGCTCAGGCTCCGCTCTCACCCTCATCTTGACCCTCTCGTGCAAAGGGACGACGTCCATGTCCTCTTCGCTCCCGCTGCTCACCATCTTAACAACCTCTGCCACTTCAGGCTTAGGAGATGGCGACCGCGGGCGGCTCGGCTCGCCGAGGCATGGGGACGGCCGCAGCAGGTAGGCGAAGGAGGGCAGTTTCTCCTCCTCGCTGCTCTCAGACCCCAAGTCGCTCTCCGCCATCATCCCCCGTCCGCTCAGGGGCACCCGGGCCCGCCTGAGGGGAAAGCCCGCGCCGGCCGCTGGTTGGCCCGGAGGCGCGTGCAGTGGGCGGCGATTGGTCCGAACGCTAGCGAGAACGCGCGCTCGGACCAATCGCCGCCCAGCGAGTGCGCGTGCGCGCCGCCTTGCCAGCGGGCGGAGGCAGGGAAGCGGCGCTATCAAGATGGCGGCGCTGGGACGGCTGTGTGAGTGCGGGCAGTGCGGGCAGTGCGGACCGGTGTCAGCTCGTTACCCTCTGAGGGCGGGGAGCGGCGCTCTGGCCTCGGAGCGGGAGGGATGAGCTCGGGACAAGATGCCCCAGGGAGGTCACCCCGCGCGATATCGCGCCCCTGGTGGGATGTCACCACCGACAGCGTGAGGCCGAGGCTTTCGCTTTTGCTTGGAGCTGAGGCGGAGCTGTGGTGATGGCGATGGGCGGGTTTGTGTATGTGAAACTGTAGCTATGCTTCGTCTTATCTGATTTCCTATAAATCGTCAAGTCTCGAAGGCTTTACTTAATGGAGCATGTCCTGAAATTAATGGGGGTTTGTACCCTTTCCTCAACAGTATTTCTTAGAATTACGGACAAGTTTGGGTTGGAAGGAACCTTAAAAGTCATCTTGTTCCAACTCCGTGCCATGAGCAGAGATGCCTTCTATTAGAGCAGGTGCCCTATCCAGCCTGTGCTTGAACACTTCCAGTGGTGGGACATTTCCAGCTCACTGAATATCCGTGATGAATTAGTTAGGTTAAACGAGTGGTTTTGCTCAGGTTAAGGAAACAAGATAACCTCTGTTCTGCACTAACCTGCTGCTTAACGGGCTAAATAGAGGGATTCAGAAAAATCAGGTTTGTCTCCTACCTCCATAAAAGGTGGTACTGAAGAGATTTTTAAGATAGTGATGCCTTGGGTTGGGGGGCAATTTAAAGATCACACAGTTCCTACCCCCTGCCATGGGAGGGGACACTTTCACTAGACCAGGTTGCTCCAAGCCCTGTTCAGTCTTAAACACTTCCCTGAAACTGGGAGGATTAATGAAAAAAACTGTGCTCCAGACTCCCTTTTTGCCACTCCCAGGGCTCTGTATTCCTTCGTAGAGCCTTTAATCATAGAATTACAGAATCATTTTGTTGGAAAAGACCTCCAACAAGTCCAACCTTTATACTCCTTCTGGACAGTCCTCAGACTGTTTCTGGCTGTTTATAGATGTTTATATATTTTCCTCATTTGTAAGATTTCAGGATGTAACTGTGTGAATGAGTGCCATTTGGTCAAAGGGGAAACTGAAACAAATCACAACCCATCTTTTCTCAAAGCACTGTAAGAGCAATCCACAGCAAGCAATGACACCTGTGCTGCATTTTACAAGAATGAAACAGAAATTTGTGCACGTGATTTAACATGCTTGCTGAGAGTTTTATTCTTACCTGGGCAGCAGCAGCATTTGAGATGTGGCCTTTTTTCAAGGAATTTAGGCCATTTTGGTCTAATTTATCTTGGAAGTACTTCTTGTTTCTCCCAGGGCTTTCCTTTGCCTTTCATTTTAAAGCCTGTCTTCCTTTACATCTGACAGAAGGAATTATGTATGATAGTTTTTCCAGCTGATGTTCTTTCTCCTAACCTAGTTCTAACCACTCACCAGCCAAGCCTGGTTGCTGTCAGATGGGCTTCTAAGAAAAGTGGGGGCAGCTCGAAAAACCTGGGTGGCCGCAGCCCAGGGAAACGCTATGGCTTCAAAAAAACCGAAGGTAGGTCTCAGTACCTTATTTGCATTTCACTGGGTTGTTCACAGCTTCTCTCCCTGATGTGTGTCAGTTGTTGGGTGTTTCAGGAAGGGGTGGGCAGGGCACTTTTCCAGGAGAAAGAAGGGGAGGATCAGTGAAAGCTCCTGATCAAGGGTTGGCGGTGGGAGGGCAGGGTGAGTCAGCTCCCCCCACCACGAGCCCGCCGGCTGCCAGCCAAAATTGCCTACAGAAAATGTACTTTGGTTCTAACTTGGCCTCTCCAGAGAGCCCAGGAGGAGGGAACACTGTGAGACACCTCGTAACTGCACTGCACTTTCCCCCCACACTGAGTGGAAAAACTGAGCATTTCCAGTGTTTACAAAGGAGAGAATTACAAAGCTTAGCAGAAGCCAAAGTGCAGATTCTTGCAGTTGAGTGCTTAATAATTACTAGCTTTGCTGATGGAAACATTTCAATGTAAATGTAGTAAAACAAATTCCTTCAGCAGCCAGAAAATGCCTTGTACCCTAGGAAGCAATCTTTTCAGAGATTTGACTTTTTGCCACGGTCTGTCCGTTGCCCTTTTATTTCCTGCTAACATCATTTTCCTTCAGATGCTTTTAACATTTAAAATAATTTTTCCTTAGAAAATGCCTACAAAAGCTGGGATTTGTCAGTGCCAGAATCATTTGTGTTGTGCCAGGGCTCTGGGAGCTCTTTCTCTGCAGGCTGACTGTGTCCCTGTGTTGCAGGTGCCTTTGTCCACGCAGGGAACATTCTGGCCACGCAGCGGTTGATCCGCTGGCACCCCGGCGCCCACGTAAGGCTTTTCTCTCTCTTTGGGTCTCAGAGAACAGCACTCCCCCCTGAGCCCCACACTCACTGCTCCTCTCTTTCAGTCTCTTTCTCAATGCTCATCCCTGTGTGGTGTTAGGCACAGAGCCTGCTCAGAGCCCCCCCTGTGCTCGTGGGACTCAGAGAAGGTCTGCAGTGATTGCTGTCCCAGGACACTTCTGTGACCTGACTGGGCACTTGTGCTTCAGGGTGGAGTGGGTGTCTCATGTCTCATACTGAGCACCATTGCAAACTGGTTGTTGGAAGCAAGTTGTGTGGTTTTATTTTAAAAAAATAAAGCAACAGTTGCTGTTGAAACCAAGACATCAAACAAGGCAGACCAATGATCAGATCTGCTTTAGTTGTGGATGTCCAGCCTCTCCTTTCTAATGCTCCTCATCCTCTCCCAGGTGGGGATGGGCCGGAACAAGACCCTCTATGCCCTGGAGGATGGCATTGTGAGATACACCAAGGAGGTCTACGTGCCCCCACCCCGCAGCAGCGAGAGCAGGGATGTGATCTGCCAGCTGCCCAAAGGAGCAGTCCTTTATAAAACTTTTATCAGTGTTGTCCCCACCACAGAGGTAGGAAGCTTCAAACTCGTCAACATGCTGTGAACCTGCAGTGTCACCTGGGCGTGGATGGAAAGGACAGACCATTACAGCTATACTGGCATCTGAGGACAAGAGTGGCTCTGAAGGATTTGGTTTTGTTCCTGAAGTGCCTGTGATCTGTGTTCAGGCACTGAGATCACCTGCTGGCATTTTTATGAGTGTTTAATAAATGCTGTGGGGCAGCTGAAGGTCTTGGCTGCTCATGGAATGTATTACCTTGGTCATGTAGTATCTGGAGAGCCTGGTCTGTTGTGCCATTGGATGAATTCTCTCTACAATCACTCTTGTGTCAGTACTTGTCCTGCTACTAATTCCCTCTATTTTTGCTCATTTTTAGTCATTACTGTTCTATTTGTACCTTAATTCACAATACTACAGAACAGATTTCCACATGCACCGATGCTGTGTACCTGGAAGCTGGATTTTTTTGCTCTAGCTCACTCACCTCAATGCTTAATTTAAATATCTGAGTGTGCCATTCACTAGCCATGTGAGGCAAGTTCTCAGGCCTAATTCTAACTCCTTACAGAGTTCAGGGGGCCTGGCAAGATGCCCAAATCTGGACTAGTATTTGAAGCCTCAGCAGCTGGAGGTGTATGATAAAGCATTATCCAGGCTACTCATCCTTTTGAGTCATTATGTGACATTTTTGTATTGCTCAAAATAAAGGAGTCCCAATGTGTTGTGCCCAAACTGATCTCATTTTATCTACAGGTTTGTAAACAATTTTAAACATTGACTCTGCAGTAGAAAACAAGTTATCAAAATCAGTAATGTAAGGACACTGGTGTTGACATTATTTAGACAATTCCTCTGCTCTGCAGAAGACCAGGTGAACTGGGTCAGCCACGTGTCCACCTGTGCTTCACATCTTCATGTAGGCCTCCAGCTGTTCAGTCCGTGCATCTGTCCTTTCCCTGTCTGCAAGTCCAGTCCCATGGTTCACCTTGGTGCTCTGTATTTGGGTATAACCCATGGAACCTCTCCAGATCCACGTGTGGGCTCTGTACAGCGCTGTTGTCAGCCACAGAGGCTGTGGTGCCAGAGCATGCAGCAGTGCTCCAAAGCACATCCCCTGTGCCACTCACAGGTGAGGATTTCCACCTGCCAGGTAGTCCAGACACAGTAAAGCACTTGATAACCTAAGAAACAGGTGAAGCAGCACAATACCACCAGTGCCTGAGGTCTGATCCCTTGTACAGCCAGCAGTGCTGCCTCACAGAGGTGTGAAATGCTGCTCCTGAGGAGCTCTGGCCCAGCAGACATTCCCCTTGGCTTGGCCCTGTGCGGCTCCAGCAGCTGGAACTTTGCCTTTGGTGTTTGCCAGAGTGAGCAGATGTCCCTGGTTCCTGTGCTCAGTGCAGTGCCCAGCAATGGCTCTGTGGTTGTTCTTGTGCTGCAAGGAGGATGGCTGGGTTGGTCTTGCCTATGTTTCAGGTGGTTGTGGATCTGGGTGAAGGTTTGGCCATTCACTGTGGAGGAAAATGGAATCCCAGGCACTTCAGCTGCTGCCAGCACGGGGAGCAGCAGGACACTGAGGCCAAGGCCTTACACCGCGGTGTTCCGCTGAGCTTGGTAGCTCAGGGGGGCATGGAAAGGCTCTGGAACTCCATGTCTGTCCAAGGTCTCTGAGCTTACTGCTGTTCCTGAGAAAGCTGGAGGATGCCTCAGAGCATGCTCATAAGGAGGTGGCATCTATTGAGGAGAGAGGAAGAGCATTACAGCAGATCAGAAATAACCAGATTATCCCACCTCTTCTTACAGAGCAGATGAAAATGCTCACAACTGCCAGCAGCCTGAAATGAAACCCCCACAGTCCCCCAGCACAGCCAGCTGTAGGCTGGGGAACACCCGGGGATTGGAGCATCAGTCTGGGACATGGCACAAACGTGCTGAGAGACACATTCTCTCCTCACACTCTGCCAGGTTCCTGCTCTTCCCTGTTCCCTTTCAAGGACTTGGCAGAAGGCCAGAACAAACTTGACTTTTGTTGGGAGAGGGCTGCACTTGTTTTCCCTAGTAAATAAAAATTACTAGGATTTACACAAGTACCTACAAACCAGGTGTTGTACCCAGGTTTTGGCAGCAAGTCTCACTGCACAGAGAGGAACCTCCAGGCCTTGTCACATTTCTTTTGGCAGAGCTGTGCTAGCTTTCTCCCCACAGGTGACAGGAAGTGGCATGATGATGTTGTGGGAAGAGCTTTCAGTGCTGTTCCTAAACTACTTGTCTTTGGAGCTTTACTCTCCTGTGCCCTCAATGCCCAGGTTTCACAGAATTACAGAATGGTCTGGGGTTGCAAGGGACCTTAAAGATCATCCAGTTCCAGCCCCTGCATGGGCAGGGACACCTTCCACTATATCAAGCTGGAACTTTTCAGGCTTTCAGGCATTAGAAATAGCTCCAAACACTGAGTGGCAAGGGCTAACTATGCCAGGCTTTATGGTACAGCTTTAAGAGTTCAAAATCCAGGTAAATCAGTGAACTTTTAATGTTTTACTCAGGGTTTCAAAAGTTTTGCTTTAGACAATGAGGTCTCTGAACGGGAGCATCTCAGGATGCTGCCACAGGACCTACTTGGCAGGATGCACTCACTTTTCCCTCTTACTTTGTGGGAGTGCAAATCTTAAATATCCTCCCAAGCAAAGCCTCCTGCTCATAAATAAGCCATAAACACTTCAAGGTAATACCAAGGCATGTCCCCATGAGTGTCCTGCAGGGAGAAGGAAGCAAGAACCCATAAAAGCCTTAGAGATCCAAAAATAACACTCCCAGCCTGGACTTGTACGGAGCAGGGGATCTGAAGAGCCTGCCATTTCTCCGTGGGGCTCTGCCCTGCCTCCTGGTACAGGCATTTCTGCAAATGCACTGGGGGAGGAGAGATGGATCATTAACCAGCACAGATGTACACCAAAGGAGCCTCCCAATACACTTTGTGCTCTCCCAGAGATAAAAGCTATCGGGAAGGCAATCACAGAGCACAGAGTCCTCAGCTACCACCAACTGTGAGGCAAGACACAGAAATGAACCACAGTGGTGACTGCCATGGGCTCCTGCCAGCCCCCCACTGCAGGGAGGGCAGCTCACCTCCTGGGATGGCTCTGCCCACAGCCCAAACCTGTCGGCAATCATCTGGTGGATTTCCCGCTGCCGATCTTTCTTGCGCACGCTCTCGTAGCTGGGCAGGCGGGGCTGCTCCCAGGACGGCAGCTGGTACGTGCTGGGGGGGCCCACACAGAACAGCTCGTCTCCCTAGAAATGTCCATGCCCAGAAAAGGGTCAGTGTGATGCTGGCTCTCATCACTAGAAGTTTATGTCCTGGTGCAACCTTGAGTTAAGGGTTCAGGGTTCAAAGCTGTAGGTACTTGTAGGCTCCTTTGAGCACCCAGAGAGGATGTCCACCCTCCGAGGGGGCAATTACACCACGACCTGCGCTGCAGGATCCCAAGCCCCCAGGATCTACCACTGGCACTTCATGCCCAAACCCTTCAGGGCACTGTGGTTCCTCTGCAATATTCCTTCCCTCCACATGCTGCCTTACCCTGGGGTTTTTACATACTGGCAGCAATTCCCAACGTTGTGGGGTAGCACCAGAAGATGCTGCCCAGCACCTTTTGCCCCAGGCAAACTCAATAAGCAGAGTCTCGCTCCAAGCCCGTGAGCAGCATTCCCGCCCAGCTCCCCGCAGGGCCCCTGCCATCACCTGCATGCCCGGGTTCTCAGCAGTGCTCTCCAGCCGGGAGGCTCCACGCTGGGGTCCCACCAGCTGCTGGCTGCTGCTGAAATAGGGCGGGGGGCGGTCCTGGAATGAGGAGGACATGAGCATAGCCACAATCCCTCCCATCCTTCCCAGCAGAGAGCAGAGCTCAACCACATCTCATGGGACAGCAAGACCCTGGCAGAGGAAGAGTGGCTCCCTCCTGCAGCTCTCAGTGCTGGCAGCAGCCCCTGCCTGTTGAGTGACACCAGGAGCTCCAGGACATCTTCCCTGGCAGCACAGGGCTGGAGCCAGCTGCAGCAGAGCACAGCCAGAGGGACAGTCTGGGCCCCAGGGCACGGTTTCATTGAAAATCAGCGGAACCATCTCTTTTTGGGGTACAACAAAAAACAACCCAACTATTCCGCTGGTGTAGATAAGAGCTCCATCACATGCCCAGGGTTACAGAATGTGTTAGTTCTTATCTACTGAGCTTGTCATTTCAGGATAATGCAGCAAGCAAATCTACAGGGCAATAGTTGTGCTGTTCCCAAGCTGTCTTGCTCCAGTTAAACTGGATTCCCTGTCAAGGTATTGAGCAACAGTGAGCAGAAATCCTGTTCACAGAGAACAGCCCCTTGAGCCAGAGCCAGGACTTGAGCCATTGCTTTGCCTTGTTCTCAGAAAACCCCATTTCTGCCAGCAGAAACCAGCCCAAAGACTCTCAGGGCAACCAGGGATGGGCAGGGAGGACTGTGAGGATTTACTGTTGCTCTTAACAAGCAAGGAGCTGTTTCTCTTTGCCCTACAGCACAACTACAGAAGCTGCAAGAAAACAGCACCCAACTGTTGGTTCAATAAGTCATGAGCAAAACCAGTGCAACTATTCCTGCACAAAAGCTGCCTCACACTACAACTGCTTCTCTTTTTCTGAAGGAAATACATTATATGTTCCCTTTCCTTCCATAATTCTTTGCATCCATCCTTCTGCACAGTCCTTTGCTAAAGGCAAGATGCCTGCTTGAAGTTTCCACCTCAGAGCCCAGGGAGATCCCACTCTGCCTCAGAGAGCAGCCCCACAGGGCCAGGGAGCACAGCAGCAGGGCCCGCTCCCAATGTGTGCCACGGGCAGGCAACAGGAGGGAAGAGAGGGAAAGGAGCTGAGACATCGTGCAGCCTATTTCCACTGTGATTTCTGGTGGGGACTTCTCAGCCTGTGCTGGACTATTAGATTTGCCCTTCATAGCACTAGTCTCTCAACCCCTTGCTAGCAAGGCTGAATGTCCACTCTTCTCCCAGGGACTGCCAAGTGGTACCTGCAGCCCTTCCCTCAAAAGCCATCCTCGCAGCTCTGGAGGCTGAGCTTTCCCCAGGCAGTCACTGCCACAAAAGCAACACTGGCTACACACGCTGCTCTTTTTCCATCAGCTTCCCTAGTTGAAAGCAGCCCTAGGAAATTACAGATGCGAGCGAAAGGGCTTTGTGTCTCACTGCTCCTTCCCCGGGAGCTGTGCACAAGAGAGCCAGTTGTCAGGGATGCGGGTGGCTTTGTCTGCCTTTGCCCTCAGCTTCCAGCTCCCTTCCCTGCTGGGCCCCTTCCTATAAAGCACAGCCCGACCCCACACATGACTATGCAGGGGGAGGAGAACCTCCCTCCCGAGCTGTGTGGAGAGCAGGGAAGCCTTTTAGTGTTGGGCCTTGGAGAGAGAACCACAATGGCACAGCCAGGCAGGACTGGGTGGGTGAATGGATGGATGGAGTGGGAGCAAGGAGATGGCAGAGCCCAGGTCTGCCTGGAGGACCCACATCCATCAACAATCCCAGCCAGGCTGCAGGACAGTAACCTGGCAGTGCAGCCCCACAGACCCAGCACAAGGCAACAGGAGCTTGGGGGACAGAGGGGGACTTGTGGGCAGGAGGAAAGAGAGGAAGGACTCGGAGGACACTCACATACTGGCTGGGGGTCTGGAAAAGGCGGCAGGAGCAGAGGAATTGGCAGCACATGGGGTCCCGGTGGTACAAGAGCAGCAGCAGGATGAGGATCGCCACAATGAAGACGGAGGTGGACACCGCTGCC